GTGTGAACAGACAGTATGTAAGATATTTTCCTTCTTCCATCTCAACCCTGGTATAATATCCAGCAGATGTTTATTTTGATTAAAATTTGAGAATCTAGCTTCAACAATCATTACGATTACAATGATAAAAGCAAATGGGGCAACAAGAAAGCTAATTCTTTGATTGCTTGTATTGTAAATGATAAATAAAGCTCTTAACTTGCTTAACCCGAATGTTAAAAATATATTTTTTAATCTTCTGTTTTTGCTGTCAGAAAATACATTCTTTTCTATAATTGCTCCTTGCGGACTTAGGTATGCTGAAGAAATAATTTAATAAACTATCAAAATAGGATTTCAGAGAATACTAAATAATAAAGCCTAAAAAGTCAATGGGAGAGACCTTTATAATAGAAACATGTTGACATTTATTGAATTGTTGTAGCTCTGTTTTAAGTAGCTTGAATTTTGAATGCAGAAAAGTTTGGGTGAAGGGTCTGGAGGGGTATTACTATCACCTGTCCAATGCCCAATGCCCACCATCTTGACCCGCAGTGTATCATGTAGTGTCTGTATTTTGCTTTTGAAAAGTTGGCACCCATATAATTTGTACTGAGAGATAGAGAGAGAGTGAGAGAGAGAAGAGAGTGAGAGAGAGAAGAGACAGAGAGAAGAGAGAGACAGAGAGAAGAGAGAGAGATAGAGAGAGAATCTATCACTATATTCTTGTTTCATTATTTCTACAGAGAGGTGCAAAAAGCTCTGGGTGTCGTTCGGAACCTCTTTACTCGATGGCGAGACCTCCAGGAAAATGCAGGAGCAACATCAAAAGAGGAGTTGGAATACACTACCAATGAGCTGCGCAACAGTTTGAGAAGCATTGAGTGGGACCTGGAAGATCTTGAAGAGACTGTCGATATCCTTTCATGAATGGGTTTTGTATGACCTGTTTTATCATATTATAAGAACACTTCTGATCTGCCACGAGTCATATTTGGCATGGTTTCTCTCCTACGTGTGTGTAACTTGCTCATACTGTCTGAATCTCTTTTTTATGTTGTGGTGATGTTTATGTTCATGTTTTCGCCTTTGAAGGCTTTATTGAACATGACATTATATATCTCCTTTCAGCAGCCAAGAAAGTTGGTTTTTCATTATTTTTTTATTTTTAAAATTTTCTTTTGTCTTAGTAACAGTTCATGGGTGGCTGGAGGGTGCTAGTAGTAGATTCTACTTCTTTTCTTTCCCTATGCTGTTTCTGCCTCTCTTAATTTATCCCAAGCGTTAATTAAATGTCAGTTAGGGTATCTGATTTCTTCTCTGCAGTTAAAAAAACAACAACTAATGAACTTACAGAATTTGAACAGATGGGTGATGGGAAAAAAAATTCGAGAAGAAAGTAGTGTTTTTGGGGGGATTTTTTTAACTTCTGAAGAGAAGAATGTGTGGTAATTCATGCACGTATTTGTTCAGGTCTGGAATTTGAATTTTGCATTTATTGACTCATCATATTATTACCTTAGCTGCTAGGGGCAACTGGTGTGAGCTATTCCTTCCTGCCTTTCACTTCTCTGTGGCATCTTAGCTTTTTTGACTGCTGGATTTCACTTCTAGTAGGTGTGAAGGGAAATGCACAGTCAGTAAAAGTATAGTGAGGAATCTGGGCATTTGTAAGAATAGCACGTAAGAATAGCACTGGAGTGGGTTGCAAGGTATCCCTTGAAGTGAGGTTGTTGAATTCTGAATTGTTTGTCTCTGTGTTCATTTGTTTGTGTGCTTATTCCCACTATGTTCTTTGTTTCTTTGTGCTCTAAAGTTTTTCTTTTTTATGTTGGTGTGATCTGTAATCATTATGATAGAGTGCGTTTATGTAGCACCTGTCTAGAAAGCTGCGTTTTCTTTTCTCATCCTAACTAACGTCTTTTTTCCTCTACTTCTTTTGTATGTTTGTCTCTCTCTTGTGAACTGCTGTTTCAGGGGGGCCTACTTGATAGTCGAAGTAGACTTTGTGCTGTTGAGGCTAGAAAGGTGAGCAGAGTAAGCCTGATTCCCCGTTTGGACTTCACTGTTGACATCCACCCCTTGGCGCTCATATGACTTTATGCAGTTGCAAGCACCGTAAAAATTACTAAAACTAAACTAAGGCTCTAAGTCTATGCACTTTATAATTTATTGGAAAATATTTAAGTTGACTTTTTTATTTTGATATTACTGATTTGTTTTTTCGTCATCTTTAGGGGGCAGTTTTTGTAATGTACCTCACTCATGAAATTATGTTTTTGAGTTGGAAAAGAATACAAAGTGTTTTCTATCAACTTGTTATTCATTCTTTGACTGTTTGCAAGTATTGTTGAGAAAAATCCTAGAAAGTTCAAAATATCTGAGTATGAACTTCAGGAGAGAAGAAATTTTGTGGAGAAGACGAAGACCACCGTGAGGGTGAGTATGGTGAAATATTTTTTACTTTTGGAGCAATAGCGTGTTTCTGTTTCGTTAAAGCAAGTTTATTAATTTGTGATTTTACAGATTAGAAGATTAATGGTTAAGGTTAGGAAATAAATAATCAAAATGTTTTTAAAATAATTTTTGTTTTGTTTTTGACATTGTTCCGGCGTTAGGTTGTATATTTTTTGTCTTTCTTTACTTTGTTTATCAAGATAAGATATATATTTATCTTTATTGTCCAGATCCTGTCATTTTGGTTTGGTATTTTACCTCTTACACACACACACACGCACACGCACACACAAACGTGTATGATCTTGACTTGGTATTGTAATGTTATTTTCAATTTTGAATGTGGAGGGTGATAATCAAGATGTTTTTTACCGTCACTCGTCATATTGACGTGATGCTTATCTTTTCACCTACAACTTTACTTTCAGGATATGAAAAGTCAGATCTCCAGTCCTGGAAATCGTCAAAGAGATGATGCCAGCTTTCGACAGGTCAGACAGATATTGAGTGTTTGTGTCTTGTGGAATTTCTATTTTGTTTGATACTTGTACTTTTTCCTTTTTCCTTCCTCTGGTATAAATAGAAAATAGAAATAAATTACGCTTTTATTTGTCCCAGAAGGGCTCTTTGGTTTACTTTGGTAAACCTACATATATATACATAAATACATAATTATAAATATGTACACTCATAAATACATGCCTAAATACATACATAAATACACAATATTACACAAATACAGAACAGATTACAACCATGCCACTGTCGGTTGCCACTGTGCAATGCCCTGTATTTTGAGCTAGGGTTGTCGTGTCTTGTTCAAGGACACACCCCGGTGACCTCCTGTCTGATCCCTGTGTCCCGACGCTTGCTTGACATTACTTGAGTCTAAACTCACTACTCACTTAGCCACTGGAGCCCCCTTATCGTTAAGATGTTGCGGGGTGGTGCGGGTTTCAGTCCTGTCTTAAATGTGTAACATTATGTGATTGATATGGCATGTTTTTCCAGGACTTTTTAAAACCCTATCCAACTAGGTCTTTGTTGGTCTTCCTCTTGTTTTGTTTGATAACACAACAAAATGTCTTTGGGAATTTCTGCAATACTTGTAAATCTATTTTAAATTGATATTAATAATAATTATTGTAGATTTTTTTGTTATGGCTCTGTGGCATAGGTGGCTGCTTTTAAATGAGGTAAAGTATCCTCTTTTCATTATTAGACTATCTATGGAATAAGAGGTGGTGGGGTTGTGACTGAGGAAGAAATGACTTTGATCTAAGCTGGAACAAACAAGGCATTGAACTGAGACTGTCAGTGAGCATGGGCTGTTGTATATGATGTTATTTACGGTAAAAAAAACCTTATAACAAGAACTTTACAGAACCAGAGAATTTCTTAGTGTCAAGCAGATTTTGTGTAAAACAGAGTGGCAATGGAAAGAAATAAAAAAGGGGAGGCGATTCCTTTCTGTCAGTTGAGATCAAATGCTGGACCTTGCGTAGCCTATTTGTAGCATTAATTACACATCGCACTTGGTTTTGTCAGCACTACCTCATTTGAGTGTTTTTCCTTCCATATGTGAGGCAGCGTGGTGGAATCAGGCTCTCGTCAATTTTTGGTCATATTGAGTTATTGGTATCATCTTAAAGCCTCTTCCTTTGCCTTGCTTTTGGTGAAAAAAATATCAATCTATGTTGAACAGAAGTCGAGATATTTGCAATTGAAAGAGGAGAGGGTCGCCTGGTTTCAGAGGTAAAATTTACGAAAAAACGGCCGCCAAAGTGTGGACATTTCCATAGCTTGAGAGTCCCTGAAAACTGAACATTTTCAGTTTTTGTGCCTTTAATCAATGTTTTTTTGTAAAACCACTACAGAAATAGATTTTTAAATGGACATTAACGGTGTGGAGCAAAAAAAAAAAAAGAAAATTAGAAAAAAATTGCCCAACGGCCAGAAAAACGCCAGTTTCTTTGATATTATAATTTTGACGAGCGCCTGATTTCACCACGATGCCTCACATATATATAGATGGGGCATTCCCGTAAGGAAAGTATCATCAATAACGAGTCTAACTCACTTCTGTCAGCACTAGCTCAGTTGACTTTTTCCCTTCCATAAAGATGGGTGGGTGGTTGGCGGGTGCTCTGGTGTGGTTTGCTCCTTCTTTCCTATTGAACAGCTATTGTCTTTATCTCTCCTTCTTCTTTTTTATGTTCTTTACTCTTTTGTAACACCTTTAATCTGCAGCACTTATATGACCTTATTGTGATGCAAGTGCCGTAAAACTGTTACTAAAACTAAACATAAAGATGGGGCATACTCTCCCCAAAAAGATGTATATATTTACACCCTAAAGATTTACTCGGATGTCTGTCTCTTCAGTCTCTGATGGCGGCGAATGGCCCCAAAACGCCGCAGGACAAGTACAAGCGACTGGATGAGGAGATGGAGTCGGCCAACCAGAGGTTTATCTCCGACTCACAGCAGCAGCAGCAGGTGGGTCTTATTCTGCAGCATCTGTCGCGGAAGACGACCTATGCCATGTCAAGGACGTTTCACGACTTCTTTCAACTCGAAGTAGTCTTAGAGCATTTCCAGTTGTCCCATTGTATTGACCCCTTTGTCGTTTAACGCGGCCAAAACGCGGCTCGAGAAAAATGGGACACGAGTGGTGTAATCTGGCCAAAGCTGGCAGCTCTTGCCATTTCTTTATCCTGTGGGATTTCCTCAATGGACACCTTGGGTGTTTTAGAGAAGACATGATAAGCAAAAGCTGTGGTTTTTGTTTTCATTTCTAGTGAGAAATGTGTGTCAGGGGTGCGGGAATTTACTTTTTCTTCCACGAAGTGCGAAAAACTGTGAACACCTTGTCAGTATAACACTGTGGCTATCAAATTAAAGATCTGTTCAAGACTTGCAAAGAGTACAAGTGAGTGTAGACAGTATCAGTCTGGCTGCTTTCGTACCACAGTTTTAGTCATTTGAAGTTAGTTGGGACAGCAGAAAGACACAGTCTTGAGAAGTGGGTGACATAGCAGGTGCTTTAGTGTTGTTAGCTTCTTCTTTCCTATCAATCGTTTGTCGTCTTTTATCTCTCCTTCTTTTATGTGTTTGTTACTCTCTCATAACACCTCTATTCTTCGGCACTTATATTGACCTTGTTGTGTTGCAAGTACCGTACAACTCTTACTAAAACTAAACGGTCTCGAGAAAATTGAGGGTTTTTTTGCCCAATGTCTCAAAACGGCTGAGGAAGACCAGTAGCTCATTTTGTCATGTTGTTTTTCAAATGTGTATAAAATGTTTCTGTTTCCATTGGTCCCGTAGATGTTGATACGTAACCAAGACGACCAGCTGGACATGATTGGCTCCAGTGTGGGCGTGCTGAAGAACATGAGTCAGCAAATTGGGAATGAGCTTGAGGATCAGAATTTGTAAGTCATAGAGTGAGAGAGGGAAAGGAAGGAAGGGAGGAGGAAAGCAGGGGAAATGATGGACAAAAAGATGGGAGGAAAGCCGAATACAGAGTGAATGTTTTTGTTTCTAAAGCAAGCAATTGCCAGTAATACACCTTGCATTAACATGTGTAGTGTCTCGGGTTCTATATGTGTGTCGACAAAACTCTGTGGGGTATCTTTTTTTTTATAGTGTATAGTGTTCTGAGTTTGGCCAAAGAAGGATGGCATGGTGTATAACTACTAGAATGAGAGGCATAAGTGGGGTAGGGAAAGTGAAGTAGTATAGGGGGGGGGAGGGGGGGAGGAGAAGAGGACAGGAGAGAGCTAGAGGAAGAGAGAGAGCGAGAGAGGCAGGGGTGGAGTTAGGGTGCGGGTGGGGAGAGAAATGCGATAGAAGAGTGTCGGAAATGGGTAGGGAGATGGATAAAGGGATGAATGTTTAGTGATATGGACTGTGATTTTTTTTGCTTAGACTTTTGAAGTACCGTACAGAACCTGGTATGTTCAATTAAATTTAATAGTTAAAACTGTTTAAATAGTTAATCTGTGCAGTGTGAAAAATATTCTGTTCCTACAGTAGGTTTTAAGAAAAAGAAATATTACAAGCATATTGTTCAAGTTTATTTCTTTGCCTGTGGCTTGCCTTATCTAGAATTTGTTGCCCTTGACAAGTATAGATTTAATGTTGTGATTTTGGGGATTTAAAAAAAATTAAAAAATTCTAATTCGTTTATAGAGGTGGTGGTCAATATGGAATAGATATTATTATAGCCTTGATAAAAGATAAGCGTAATCTTCCATGTCTCATGTCTGTGCATATCGTGACAATTACAGCTCTCCGTTTCTGTTCCTGTGAGACAAAACAGCGACCCAACTGAGAAGCCGGAAATTTCTCGCTAGGTCAAGTGGTTAGGAATCTGGAGCTAAACTTTACTTGTACCGTAGCCTTTTCCTCGTCCCTCAGTTCTCCGTGATTTTTCACCTCATGGGTTCGGTTGGATTATTCCAGTGATTTTATTGTGACTTTTTATTTTTTAAAGGAATAAAGGAAAGGAGTAGGGTAGCGTTTTATCAAGATTTTTTTTATCTCTAACAAATGTTGGCGCTTGTCAGCCTTTCTTTTTTTCTAGGCATTAAAAAATATTTCTGCTATTCCTGCTTCTTTCTTTTTTTTAAACTTGACTATATGTAACTAGTGATTCCATAGTGCTTGCTTTATATTGGAGTAAACAAAGACTTTATCGATTAAGGTGTCCTATTGTGTAGCAGTGGGGCTTTTCTTTTTTTCATTCAGGAGAGATGAGTTTGGTTCTCGAGTGGAGGAGTTATTTTATCCCTGAGTGGGGAAGTTATTTTATCTCCTAGTGGGGAAAATATTTTATCTCCTAGTGGGGAAGTTATTTTATCCTGTATCCCTGTCTTTGTGGTGGGTGGATGTATCCCACTCCAGCCAGGGCTAGCTCTGACAGACAGCTTCGAAGCAGCCCATCTCTTTACTGATAAAAAATTGCGGAGACTGGGGATGTTAAAACATTTTCAATAATAGGCAGTGTATGTATTTCTCTCTCTCTTTTTTTTCACAGAATGCTGGATGAGTTTCATCATGAAATGGACAACACAGAGACCAAAATGGATCAGACGATGAAGAAAATGGCCAAAGTTTTGCATATGTCAAATGGTGGGTTTACTTCTCTTGGAGAGGGGGGGGGGTGCCTGGTTTTGGCTATATGTGAGCCATTCTGAGGAAATCAGGAACTTGTGGCCTCAGGGCCATCTATAGTTTTTGTACTTTTCTGAAAGCTGGGATCTTCCTGATTATTACACATTAAAACAAAATTCAATGATCTTTTCTAGAATCTGAGATATTGTATTTTGAAGTAACAAAATGGGAGGAAAAGTAAGGACTGAGAAAAGTGCATTCAAAGTTACACCATTTATTTCTTTTTAAGTTTAAATGAAAATGGAAAATAAATTGAGAAAAATATTTTTAAAGTGGTTTTTACAAGAAACTGCTCATGAATTACTTTCTAAAATTATGGTTCGGGAATCCCTGGATATGCTTAATTCAAAATCGACCTGAATTGACCTCACCTGATGTCCTCAGACTGGTTCACGTATGTGTCACAATGCGGTGGGAATCAGGTGCTGGGCGCACAGAAACATTCTTAGTTTACCTGGAAGCATACAGTGCAAGCTACCAAACTGACTAGATCTTTTGCTGTCTATAGTTGGGTTTCCAGTACCACCTGGGTGAAATGAGGATAATTCATGTTATAGGCCTTTCCCAAGGACACAACAATGGGCCCCTAATGGGATTTGAACCCATGACCTTACGGTTACAAGTCCGAGAGCCTGACCACTAGGCCACTGATGCCACTCTTTGTATAGCCCTAGCGGAGATGGATTTTACCTTGGTGATTTATTACTGAATTGAAATGTGCAGTAAAACTTATTCAGCTTCAGAGTTTTTAAGGATAAGTTTTTTTTACTAAGTTAAACATATTGAATTGAAAATGCATTTAGACTTATTCAGTACCAGAGTATTTATGTTAAGTTTCTTACTGAGTTAAGTTTACTGAATTTGAAATGTGTTTTGAACTTGTTCAGTGTCTTTTTTTGTCGTTGTTTTGCTTTTTTATTGTAAACAAAACTGCTGTTTCTTTCCTAATCCTTACTATCGTCATTTTTCCTCTACTTCTTTTGTATGCTTGTCACTCTCTTGTGACCCGCTATTTCCGGGGTGCCTTGATAGTCGAAGCGGAGTTTATGCTTTTGAAGCTAGAGAGGTGAGCAGAGTAAGCCCGCTTCCCTGTAAAGACTTCTCTGTTGACCTCCACCCCTTGGCGCTCATATGACCTTACACAGTTGCGAGCGCCGTAAAACCTCTACTAAAAAAACTTTAAAAACTTCTTTTTCCTCCCCAGATCGGCGACAGTGGTGTGCCATCGGTGTCCTCTCCCTCGTCCTTCTCATCATCATCATTCTCTTCTTCAGCGTGTGAGATTTTTTTTTCCCCTGGTGACAAACAACATTCATGACTGAAAAGTATCATGCCTAGATATTAACTCACTCACTACTGGCCATTTGTGACGTGCTACGGGCATTTTCATACATGATTTAGAAAATCACCCACACGTTGTTATAATTAATCTTTGAACTATGACAGATTTTTTGTTTCAGATTTCTTTTTGGACACTGCCATTACAGTCCTTGTGATGTTGAAATATTTCCCAATATAAAGTCATGCAGGATGAGATGGTAGAACTGCACAGTATGATCTGCATGTATTTTTTTAATGGTTGGATTTTTGTTGGATTTCGTTAGTGAGAAAGTGTTTTTGTGTATCAATACCCTCACAAGATATCAGGATGGGTGGTTGGCAGGTGCCCTGTTATGGTTTGCTCCTTCTTTCCTATCAAACAACTATCGCCCTTATCTCACCTTCTTACTTTTTAGTCTTTTTAACTCTCTTGTAAAACCTCTAATCTTTGGCACTTATAATACAAACTTATTGTGTTGCAAGTGCTGTAAAACTTTTAACTAAAACTAAACAAGACATCAGACACTTCTGTCGTCTTGCACGTTTTACATTGTGGTGTCGTAGAACGGTTCTGGCTTGTGATACTGGGCTGTCAAACAGCTTCCTTCGTAGGAAATATATATATATATATTGATGGTGTTAGGCATGACTCAACTGCCAGTTTTGCTCATGTTCACGTTAAGACATTCCCAACAGAGAGCTGTGTCTTGAGACTGGTGTCATCCATATGCTATATATATATATATATGGCTGTGAGCTTGGACTGATTTTTAGCAAATTTCGTTCTGAGTGTGGGGATTCTCTGTTCTTGCAGTTTGTCCTCGTCTGCCCTGTATGAGGTGATAATTAGTTTCAGAAAAAAGACAAAACACAAAATGTTGCATTATATATTGTTATATCGCTGGTTTCCTTTGCACAAACAAATAATATAATGGGAGGGGGGGGGGGGGGGGGCACTCTAAGACAATTTAACAACCAAGTCAATCCAGCCCAGTGTTCATTTGAATGTAAGTCAGGTGGCTTGAATAGAATTATCGATGACAAGGGAGATCCTACACCGCTAAGAGAGGTGTTTTATGAGCTTATTGTGGATATAAGAATAAAAATATAGAAGAAGCTATTGAAAGTAGTGCTGATTCTTATGAAATCTGTGCAAGAGAAATAGGGGGAAGTTGTCATTCAGGTGGCATGGCCGGGAATGAAAGTTGAACATTGTTGTCTCAAGTAATACTCCTCAAAGACACACTGTTCGAGAGATAATAAATAATGACAAATTATAAAATAAATAATAAATATATTACACTTTGTTGATTCCCGTAGGGAAATTTGGGTTACAGTGACAAACGTACATACAGAAAAGATACATCATTATAAATACACACGTACGTAAATATGTACTGTAAGTATGTACATGAATGTAATACACAGTGTTACACCAACACAGACAAATTTTGTGCAAATGTCATTGCTGGTTGCCACTGTGCAACGCCTTTTTAAAAAAAAGTGAGGGTTGTCATGTCTTGCTCAAGGACACACCCCAGTGACCAGCCATGTAAACTCTGCATCACCGGCACTTGCTTGACATTACTTGTTTGAACTCACTACCCACTTTGCCATCACTGTAAGAGATAGAGCTAGACCTGAGGCAGGGTGGGGTAGTGGTAAAAGAGGGCGTGGTTGTGGATGTAGTCAACGTAGAAGAACCATAATCAAAAGGTAAAGAGAGATGAAACAGATATGCTGTCGACTGAGACTGAAAGAAATTTCATAGATTATCCTTAGGTACCACTATTCATTAGTATGCCCCACCATGCAATTGTTAGCTTGAAAGTTCTAAAATTTACTTGGCAGGGAAAGGGTTAAATTTTTTTTTTTCACTTTGACATCTTGAAGCTCATAGAAACTACTATTCTTTTGCTTTGATTTCTTTTTTTTTTTGCTTGGAAGTGTCTGTTACGGACATTTTTCCCTACTTTTTGATTTTATAAAGCATTTAATTTGAGTTTCTGAAAGAAAAAAAAGAAAAAGAAGAGTTCTTTTTCATTATTACTATTATTACTACAACCGAAGAGGAAAAAATAGCTACCCAAACGGCTAGATCACAGTGAGGTACATGGTCTGATACTGGTTAGGAAATGTTTAGAAACTTCTGTTGTCTGAAATCATTTTCTTTTCAACATGCTGTTGTTGCCGTAGCTATCACTTTTAACAGCACCTCGATGCTCTATTTAGCATGCCTCACTACAGAGGTTTGCCGTAAACTGACAGAACGCCTTTTTTCATTTTTGGTGCCAAATTTTTAACGTTGATAAATCAAAATCCTGATCAGTTACTCTACGTGTGCGAAAAAATCAAAGTGAAACTACGTGACAAACTAGTATTTGAATAAATTAGAATTCAAATTTCAGAAAAACGCATTTAAAAAAATGGTTAAACTGACAAAAAGTCTTTTTTCTCAAAACTGCTGTGAAATGTTTAAAAAAAGGCGTTTTGTCAGCTTACGCCAGAGATGTGATGGAGGGTATACTTTCTGGCGATGGTCTGACTCTGAAGGCTCTGTCTTGTGTGATAAACAAATTGATTTTTGGGCCTTGACAGTTTTTGATTTTTTTTCTCTGCCATCCAGCCTGCTGTGTGCTCAAAAATTGCTGCTGTCATAACACAATTGCCGAAGTAATTTTTAAACTGGTTCCAAATTATTGTTATAATAATAAAAATACCTGTCACTTGTTTCATGTCTTTAGTATAGCAGAGTTTTGTTTCCTCATACAAATTAAACAATTTTTTAGACGTTTTCAGTCTTACCTCCTTGCCTGTGGCAAGCTGTGCTGGTGAGTCACTTGCCATTTTGCCAAAAACAGGTCTCTTTTACTGGGAGTTTTGTCATTAGAGGAAGAACTGTCTAAATGGGTTCATTGGATTTGAATAAATTACTAATATAGTGATGTACTTGTCACTTTTATATTTCGTACCAAAAGAAGGCCTTGGCATAGTGAGTTTAACACCCCCCCCCCCCCCCCCGGGATGATAAAGAGTTATAGAGTTGAAGTTGACGTTGGTTTTTATTTTTAAATTATCTATCTGAAAAGATATAATTTTTAAAAATGACTTTAGGCAATTGTGTTATGACTGAGAGAAAATGATCTGATGGTTGTAGTGATAATGCCATGAGGCCATGACCCCTGACCTCTTCCTTGTCTCAAGCTAAACATTATATCAAGATTGTAAAATTTTATTACATGGTGTCTGTTTTCAGAAGTTTGAAATACAGTAGTCTCTGTCTAAGATCCCACTGCTTATGATCCCGGTTTAGGTAAATATTCTACTGATTTAAGTAAGAAAACATAATTTTTACCAAGCAAAAGTTGTGTCTGGGAGCATGCTGTGATTAGCTATATTCGGCTAAGGTTTGGCACTTCTGATCATAATTTGTCGATACCGAACAAAAACTGTGAAATTATGCCCTTCTGTTAATTTTAACAAAGAATGATGAAGGAAAATAATCAGAAATTATGCAAAAAATGATCAAATTTTGCAAAATTGTGCGGGGAGCATAAAACTGCGGGGACAGCCCTATCCCCAACCCGGCCCGTCTGGAACAAAACGCGCTCGGGAAACAGTGTCTGCTACACAGGATGTTATTGATTATTAAATATTTTGAAGATCTTTCTGAATTAGATGCGGGTAATGACGAGGAGTGGTCTGCCCCGAGTGGGATATGGAATGTGGCTGACCGGAGTGTTAATATTATGGAATTGACTGATTTCAGGGCCTGACCACGAGTCACTGTGGATTCTTTCCCCCGATATTTTGGCTAAGATCTCTTTCGCCTAGGAACCCACATTTTCCTTTCTCCCAAGCACAAGGATCTTAGACGAAGACTACTGTTTATATGTAATTATTATTATTAAATATATATATATAGAATATGCTTGATGGTGGTGGTCAGTATAAACACACGCTGCATTGGGACCATGTGGGTTTGTGGTGTGATGCTGGGGATGGATTTTATAATGTGCATGCAGTCTCTCTGTGTGTCTGTGTCTGCGTGTGTGTGTGTGTGTGTGTGTGCGCGTGTGTGTGTGTGTGTGTGTGTGTGTGTGTGTGTGGTATGTGTGTGTCTGCGTGTGTGTGTGTCTGTGTATGTATGTGTGTGTGTGTGTGTGAGAGACAGGGAGAGAGACAGAGAGAGAGATTTTTAAGGATTATTTTTTTGTTAGCAGTACAACCTTCTAAACTTTTTTCAGTTGTGAAAGAAAGCTATGTCATTGGGATTTTTTTCTTGGTATGTCTGTGTGTATATATGTATCACACTTTGTGAAATTCAAAATTGTTGTCTAAACTTGTCATGTTTCATGTAATGCTACCATCATTTTTAATTTTGCTTTGTTTTGTTTTTTCCAGAGCATCTAGTTTTTGTGAATTCGGTTTCCCTCGTAATATGGAGTGATATGAATAAGCTCACTGAAAACTTGATTGGGCTTTCTGTTACAACAAAGAATACGTGGGCTTGCTAAAATTGAATGCTCATGAATAAAATATATTTTATTGCACAGTACTCATGAATAAAATACATGAGGCAGCATGGTGAAATCAGGCGCTCGTCAAAATAATGAAAGTCATGAATTTGGCACTTTCCTTCTGGTTTGAGAATTTTTATCGAAATTTTGTTTTTTGGGTCAACACCTTTCATGCCCATTTTAGAGCATATTTCTGTGTCGGTTTTACTGAAAATCGTTGGTTAAAGGCAGAAGAAATGTACATTTTCAGTTTCCACGGACTCTCAAGCTGAAGAAATAACTCATCTTTGGCAGCCATTTTCTTGCTAATTTTACCTCTGAAACCAGATGACCCTCACCTCCTTCAATCACACATATATCTCGACTTCTACTCAACATAGTTGGATATTATTTTCACCTAAAACAAGCAAAATGGACAGGTGTTAAGATGATACCATCAACTCCGTATGCCTAAAAATTGACGAGAGCCTGATTCCACCGCGTAGTGCCACAATTATATTTTATTGCACAGTACACGGTGGCCGCCTCAGTAGTTCATGTTGTTTTTGTTGAGCCCCGGTACCCAATTCCAGCTGGTTACTCCAAAGATCAAATTGTGTGCCCGTGGTTAATAATTTCTTTTTATATATCATACACACACACACTTGTTTGAGTGTGTGTATTTGAGTACACACAAACTTATATATATATATATGAGCTCACAATGACCACCGTATAATATAATGTATATTTGTTCACCTGTATGCCTGTAAGGGAATATGATGAAACTTTTGTCGCTTGTGTGCCCGCGGTAATATTATAATATAGGTCTAAGTATTGGACACCAGTGGCTGGAAAGTAGTGTCTGTGAACCTTTGTTCATTGGTGTCTAGTCAAAGTGGTACATGTAGTGTAAGTTTGTCGTATTGCGCATGGTGTGACTGGGTTTGTTTGTTTGGGGGTTTTTTTAGTGTGTCATTTCTTCCAATTCATGAGTGGGATTTGTTGTTTCAGCCAGGGATGACGTTTCTGGATAAAGTTCTAGAATAATTTTCTGGAAGTGGATCAGCTTGATTTTTTTACATCTTGTATGACAGTTTTTATCCCCCCCCCAATGGGTGTGACATTGTGGACATTTCCTTTTGCGAAGAATTCAGACTCATGAGAGTGGAAGTATTACAAGATCGAGATCCATTTACCATCAATCCAGATAAAGTCAGTTTTCCTAGTTTTGTTTATAGCATCATGTTTTTTCCATCTTGAACTGTTCTCAGACAGTAAAAATTGTTATATATATAAATACATATTTCTTGCCAATGTGTTTCTGTGAAATTGAAATAACTTCATACTACACAAATTTCCCTGTGTATAATGAGGACAGTGTAGTGTCAATGTCAATGATTTTCTTCAGAAGACCGGAGCCTTTTTCCTTTTGCAGAAAAGACTGAAGTGCACTCTATTGTTTTAAAAAAAAGGGAGGGGGGGGGGGAGGGGCTGTAAAGGTGATGTAAAGGCCCCAATGCTGAGTGCTTCTACTTGTACCGTAAAGTTTGGGACTGTAAAGTTTGGGTTAGAAGCCGCGACTTCTTTCCTCAGCCTCAACAAACACTGAGGCTTAAACAACGATGCAGCTTATTTGCAGACTTTCTCATTTGCAGGAGTGTTGCTCCCTCATTTATTCTTAGCATACACCTAAAACATTAAAAAGTTGACATATTTTCCTCAACTCAGCTCCACACTTTAGCGTATGCCTAAGAAACACGGTCCAACCAACAGACATTCGGTATTGTATAATCTGCTGCGGCTTATATGGTCACTTTTAAGGACAAGCGGGCTAACCATGATTTTGGGGGCTTCCAGAAATCTTGACCTTTACCAAAACTGGGCATTGCCCTGGGGCTATAGGAAAAGTCTGGTTTCATTGGTGTGTATATTTGTTTGGTTTTAGAGAAAACTCGCTTTGTCTTTAAAGTAAAGAAAGGGAACAAGGGTCCAAAAACTTTACCTTCGATTTTTTAAAAACAGAATTTTTTGGGATAGCCCCGTTGTGAAAAGCGACCATATAACCCAGTGCGGCGCATTATGAAAAAAGTTCAAATTTTTTACAAATTTTAGTGGATGTTGCTTATTTAAAACAGGTGCGCTCAATAGCCTGAGCTTTACCGAAGTTAATGGGAGTTCTGGTATGTTCGGGGGTGTGAGGACTCCCAGTAAATTGTTTGTGGTGGGGATGGCTTAAGTGTGGGCCGTCATAAGGTTAAAGTAAAGGCAAATTGGAAGAACATGTAGTTCAACTTAAGGTGGTGCTAAAACAGTCTCCGTCTTCTCTACCGTCTCTCTTTCCTTATCTTTATCTTTATCTTCTCTGACCACCCCCCCCCCCTTACACAGATGAATTTATGCTTATCTTTAATTATTTTGGCGATAGGACTGATGAGGTGGAAAGTGGAGTGAGTTACATTATCAAACACTTCCTCTATCTTTTTTGTCTCAGCAGACTTTGTGACATCTTTTGTCCGTCTCTTTGGCTCATACAAGAAAAAGAAAATAAGTTTTGTGATGTTTGGTCTAAATTTGCAGTGCTCGTGTCTTCAACTCATTGATTACGACTGACACTTTTTACATAAAATGGGGGGGAACGGAGATGGAAAAAAAAAGGATGTGGTCCATCGCCGCAACTGATGACACTTTCAACTGGCCTAGCACAAAGTCCCTTGTGGATTGTTTTATATAACATGCCTGTCTACTGCTATGCATATATAACAATGTTTAGTACAAATATATTTATAAGTAGTCTTTGTGAGAATAGATTTTGGTAAAATTCAATTTGAGCCCCCCTTGAGAGTTCTTCAAAGTAGTCAAAAGTGTCTTTTGCACATGTCACAGCGACCCACAATTGGCCCCCCCCCCTCCCCCGAGATGGAGACCACCTTGAATTGATGTGAGAAGTAGTAAGTAGGTCACGTCAGTTCAGAATGGTGGGCTCAAGTAGACTTTTACCCTGATC